TAATAGGCCTACATTAAGGGTTTTTAAAAATGTGAGATTCACCCAAACACACACTATTGTTTGAGCCAGTGTTGTTTTTTTCAACCCTCAAACAAACAGACAATTATGTGCAGAATTTACACAGGCTGTTTTGTAGTGTTGCTGAAGAGTTTAGCTAGTTGTGAAAAGACAAACCACACAGGATCAAGCAGATTATCGTTATGCTTTGGTGATCACAAGTATTTGTTTCTATAAGCTGTAACTGTGAATCAAGGTAATTCAACAATGCTTTGTCAGAGCAGAATTGGAGTTTATCTGTTGAGAATGCTATTCAGACCAGGAGATTGTTCTCATAAGTCTCTCCTCTGGCCAGAACAGGATCATACAAGCAACATTTCCCAGTCCAATCGTTTCGTGCCCAACCACCTTCACAGTTGGTTAATTACCTTCTTTAGAGATCAATATTTAATTAGGAAATGTTTTTGCCCATGGGGCAGTTTTAGACAGTCACCAGACTGAGAGGCCACTCTCTTCACATTTAATAGAATCTCAATTCATTCATAAGATGCGTTCGGCTCCAAATAAATTATGCTTTGATCGACAGAAAGGCCTTCTGTTAGTTGTTAGTTGGGTTTTATGTCCTTTAGGCCAGAAATGATGTTTGTATATACATATTTCATGCTCCCAGATAGCAGATAGCAAGAACGTTTGGGCCAAATGTGGCTGATAGCTGTCACATTTGGCCTAGGTATGGCATGGCTGAGCACATATGGGCCAAACTTTAACCGTATATGTTTTGCCATGATGGTCCAGATGATAGCACACAACTGAGAGCCATATGTGGCTTGGCTATGGCACACCATGGAATATGTTAACTTGTGGTTAACATTTGGCTTTTATTTGGAAAAACACATATAAACTGTTGGCAGGTCAGTGGCAGTCCACATCTCAGCCCATTCAACAATGCTATTGGTTGCTTTATGTCTTCCCTTATTTCTATTGGTGGATTACTGAGATTTTGAAAATATATCCGTTATTTTCCGCGCTGCTTCCTCTTTCAATCGCCGTTAAAAAAGAAGATGATGATGACAAAGCTCCCTATTTACAACAGCCTTTGCCCAGACACATTCTTATGCAGGTAAGGGCAGTCGTGAATAGATCTTCACTAGGCTATACATTATTACTATACATTACATTCTGTAATCGTAAGGTTTGTGTTTTGTTCTTTTCGATAAGAAACAAAGTCTCATTTTTTAAATTATGTATATTTTATCGGGAAATTAAAACCGTAAATGCCGTTTTGACGCTCTTTGATGTGGCGCGACAGACTGAGGCGCGGAGAGCGAGCCAGTCAGCAGATTTCCTCTGGCGCGGATCTGGCCCATATCAACAGCTAAAGTGTGGCCCAGATTAGTTCGTGTTTGCCGGCCCAAAACTGGTCCACATCTTTTTAGCCAGAACTGAACCAAAACAGTGCCATAACCCAACCCAGAGTGAGCCAAATATCATCA